AAACGTTCACCACCGCACGCTGCCGAAGCAGAAACAAACACGAGTTCAAGCGACTACTACTTGGTAGTACAGAGCAAACCCAAAATGAAACGCAGGTCCAACGTTGCCACAACAAACAAGCCGACGCGCAAGGCATCCCACCGTGGAAATGGATGCCTGGATCACGAAGCGCCAGGGCGATCTTCACTTCAGCTAGTCGTCCAGAGTAAAAGGAGCTGCCGGCTGCTCAGGGGCCTTGCGCTTCGGAGAGGAAGACGGAGCAGGATCCGCCACCGGCGGCGCCGGTGGCGAAGGCGAGCCCGACCGAAGCCTCTCCTCCGCCGCCAAGACAGCCTCTGTTGCCTCCACGAACTCAGCCCAGCTGATAAGAACAAACCACATCGATCCGTGTTAGTGTTAGTAAACAAGAAATCAATAGGCTACTGAATGTGTGAATCTGGCGAACGCACCAGGTGATCGGCAACTTGATGGCCCGGCGGGCTTCTGGTCGGGCATTCAAGACGCGGATGAGGTCGTGCACGCTAGGGCCGCGAAGACGCAACGCAAGATCCTTGACGACCTCGCTAAGGTCGGCGATCTGACGACGGATCTCCAGCGTAGCAATCTCGGTCCGCGCTGTTGAGTGGAGGGTCCTCTGAACCAGCAAGCACAGGTCCGCCATGGAAGCGCCTCCGCCATTGCCGTGCTGCTGCTGCGTGCACATTCATCAGCGCAAGGGGAAATGTTCAGACTTCGGAGATCCAAGCAGGAAACAGTATAAGAGATCTATCAAAATGAAAAATTACCAGCAAGTTGTGCATGTGTATGACCCGAGCCTGGCCGATGGACGACACCGCATCTGCCTGTGCCTGAGCGCCGCAGGTAGAAGAACAAGCAGAAACATGAGGGGCAAGAGATTGTTGATGCTATGTATGTACATATCCCTCACAAAAAAAGGAGAGAAATAAAGAAGCAGAGGTTCTGTATACATACTTGGCCGCCGGCATGTTCGCCACTAGTCCCGCTCAGCGGCGGCGTCGGAGGTGCACCAAGAACCAGCTCCGGCACCATTGAAGCTAGCGGTAGAGAAGACGGGACAGAGAGAGACAAGAGTGGAGGGTGGTGGTGTGAAGCAAGGCTGGGACTGGGGTTGAGCCGGTCTGGTCTGCTTTGTAGGGCAACAAGGACAAGGAGGAGACCGCAACAAAAAAAATTGACACAGTAGAGCGCTCATATACACGTGCATTCACTCATCCCTATGAACCCACACATGCACATCCTATCTTTATGAGCATCTTTGAGAGACTGAGCCGACATATCATCTTAATATTTTTACGAGAATGAATATGCACCGAACTAGAGAGCTTAAAAATAATTCAACCCCAGAAAGAAAATCAAGATTCCCATAACAAAACACAGTAAAGGCTTATTTGATTCAAATGATTTTCATATGAATTTTAAAGGATTAGAATTCTTAGAAAACTTTTCTATGTTGGTTGTTTAATTCATCATATGATTGATCCAATAGGAATTTTTACAACGGATTTCTTTGTGCTACTTCCCATAGGATTTCTAGCATCACCTCAAATATCTTTGAAAGAATCTTTTTTTTTACTATCATGCAATCAAACATACCAAAATCGTATAGGATTGCGATAAGCATGACATTCCGATCCTATGTTTTTCCTACTCCCGTGTTTCTAGAATCCTATGAAACAAAGAGACCCTACTGGTTTCTTTGGTTCGCAATATTTGAAAACCACATGAATAGAAAGCAATAGACGTTGTTTGGTTGCATTATAGGAAAAACACAGGAATTTTCTATGAAAATAGAGTAGATGCCATAGTTATCATAGACTCAAAGAGATTTTTCCAAGAGGTTTAACCTCTTGCTAGGAATCCTATGTAATTTATACTGTAGAAAGCATTCCATAGGAATTTTGGAGGATCCACTCCTTTGAACTAAATGAACACTCTACAGGAAAAAAAATCCTATGAAATATAATCCTAGAAAATTCGTTTGAAAATACTATGAGCCAAACAGACCCTAAAAGAATGGAGTATGAAGCGATTTCCACAACACCAGCCATTAGAAGTAAGGGCATCTCCAATGCCGGTCACATAATTGACCACAAATGTTTAGACCGTATGGTTCGGTCACATTTAGCCATCCAATGCGGCTCACTAGAAATGAATGAATCGATCCTGACGTCTGAAATCCCAC